ACCTGGTTTCGGAAAGGAACAGCGAGCGCTGGGCCAGGGCCAAGTGCAAGCCCTAACGCAGGCAGCAGGGAGCAACGTCGGTGTCTGTCGGAGCTCTCTTCCCACAAAGGCACAGCCGCCCTGCAGCCCCTCCACAGCCAGTGCGCCCTCAACAGCAGGCGAAGCCTCCATCCCTCTTCCAGGCACAGTTAGCTAAAAGGACTACTAGAGAGCTTGGTGCTTCTTGCATAGAAATGGCGAGGTTATTAAATTTAGAGCGATTTGCTACAGAATCTCAGTCTCTATTAGCATTTCTTGTCACCCCCTCCAAGGGCCAATGGCCAAAGGAGAGGTCCTGTGTTTGCTGGGATCACTCCCTCACTCAGAGGCTGCATCCCAGCATTCCAACGCACTGATCACAGCCTGACCCGAGTACGACTCGGATAGATGGTCACAGTCCAAGAAATCCCGGGGTTATCAAAACGTAAGCAAATCTAAATTGGGGGGTGGGGGTGTGAGGGGGAGCAGTGATGTGATGCTGAAGTTTCAGAGATGCCATTTCAGGCACACACACTGCAAAAAGTGCGATGCAAACCCTCCCACCCAAGCAAGCTTCAGGAAAAATCACATTGCTGTGTCTTCCGCAAAGGTCACCGCGTGAGGCAGCACATTTTAAAACCTCCATGGAAACCACAGGTACTGCCCACGGGAAGGGCCGAGCCAACACGGCCATCTCCCCTCTCCGGAGGACGGAGCATGCTGTTTTCCCCGACCGAATGATGAAACCTGTTTCTGGGAGATTAAGTCTGAATCCTGTCTGAACCTGCTCAGAGGTTTACAATGCTGGAAGGAGAAAACAACCTGGCTGACAAGATGCGGGCAGGAAGGCCAAAGGTATTTGTTTGGTCACTGCAGATGACCACAGACCTGCCACTTACGTGGTATAAAGTGGCTGAGCTGTCACAGACCCAAAATAATTATTTGAGCTTGGAGTCGGTGTTAACTCAGACCCACAGACGTGGGTTTCTTCAGACCCCGTCACCCACCCGCTGTCGGCAGCACATCCCTCCCCTGCGCTCCCAGAACCGCTGTCGTGCAGAGGAATGATTGAGCTCTAGGTGTCTGCAGCTTCAGCCCACCGAATGAAGAGAAACAGGAATGC